GGGGTACAAAGTACAGTTGTTTTTTTTAGGCTGCGTATATTTTCATTATTTTTATTTTATTTTTTTAAAATTAAAGGTTTTATTATTTAACATATAGAATACTCCCACTATTTTAAATACAATTTAATGATTAAAATAAATACTTATTTAATAAAAATGAAATATATTTTTTTGTATATCATTTAAGTTTTTATGTATACAAGAATCCAGCTTCCAGTTCGACCTGCCTTTGCGAGAACTATAAACAAATCCTAAGGCTAAACGCTTCAAAAAGTTGGAATTTGGTTCTAGAAAGAAATATTCACTCATAGCCAGTTGTATGTTGCATGCTCAAGAGTAAAAAATCCTAAGAATTTATTCTTCGCTGTTAAAAAGCGAAAAAAAAAAAAAAAAAACTTTCTTGTTTACCATGAAGTTCTATAAAATTAAATAAAAGAAATTAAACTGCGAAGTATGGTATTTGTCAAAGCATTTTTCCAAACAAGTCAGTTTATTCAATTTTCAGCGATTGGCTTATGAAATTGAATGAAGTAGAGTTTGTAAATCTGGACAAAAAAAAAACGTTAGCAATAACTTCAACAATGCTAAATACGTAAGCGTGTTGAAAAAAATTCTAGTGTTCTTAAATAGTCTTGTTTAATCCAGACTCGTATATATCAAGAATAGCGTTTAACTCGTTCAGAAACGTCTAAATTGTTGTCTATATACAATAGTTTCCTCAGATCAATGATTAGAAATGGGTTCAAGTGAATTAATCCTTTCAGCCTTAAAAAAGAGAAACCTTTAGATGACACTATAGGTTGGTGCTAAAAACTCACAAACAGCTTTACCAAATCACGAAAACACATTACTTGAAGACTTCCAACAGCAGCGACAACTAAAATAGGTAGCAAAGGTAACAAAAAAAATCATAACAGTTAATGGAGTTGAGAAGTCTATTTTCCTGAAAAACTGTTCTATGAAAAGGATTTTGTTTCCTGTTCCGCGGTTTTCCGTCTATTACACTGTCACCCAACGCTAGAGAATCTTGTCTAACCTGTTATTTAATCCATAGCTGCCAGTACAAGAAACAGATTCACGCTTTTTCTCAAAGGCATTAGCACAAAAGCGAACGCCATAGACTATCCCGTAATTTGAACTCAGCCCGCCGATTCCATTTTTGAACCAATATCCATTAAACTAGGCGCTGTAGTGGTTAGCAAGCTTGTCTCGCTAGAACAATTACGACAGAGTAGTGAGTACTCACTGGGTACCCCATGCTTTCGGCCTTGTGCCACATCTAAACTACGCTTGGAAAATAAGTATATTTATTTACCAAATGGAATCAGGTTTCTTTATGTGACAATATATTATTAAGAAATTTTATTGGTCGAATTATGGAAGATGATGTCATGCAAATTTTCCTTGGTTGCTATTTCACAAGTGTATGCTTTCTGCCAATTGCGTGATTTTTGGAACACCCTGTACAATTAAAAAAAACTGTTGCTTTTGGGGAGAGTGAAAACCGTAATTAAATAGACAGTAATGGTTTTATGGTACGATTCACATGGACTGAGCCTAATCTAGTTAATTTCAACATTGCTGAAGTACGTAATGAGGTTCGAATTTACTATTTGGAAACTAAACTTTCCAGCAAATTAATGGATAATTATGATATTTTTGTAAATTTATGAATTTGGCTTCTTTTTAAACTTTTATTTCTCATGTACAGCATCTCTTTTATCTTAAAAAAAATGACAAAAAAAACAAAATTATGAGGACAATTAAACACGTTATTTTCCCAAAATTCTCACAATCTAAAAGAAAAAGAAATATTTTCTAGCTTTAAATAACGCGCCAAAGGTTGTAAAAAAAAATAGTAATCAATCTACCGCTACTGTTCCAACTTTTGTTAGATATCTTACCTGCCTTTTTATCTTTTTTTATCTGCCTAAAACTCTAAACATGTAAAAAGGAAGACATTAAACTTAAACTCATATGAATATAATTAAAAATTTTAAACATAACAAACTCAAAGCCACTTCTTTTTTTATAGCTTAAAAAGTACTAGATTGATTAATTTGATTTTTACAGCTTATCAACCCTTTGCAGGTTATTTAAAGCCAGAAATATTTTTAGATTGTCAGAATTTTTTGGGGGGAGGGGGGTAATAATGGTTTACTGATACAATTCCTACTAATTAACTCATAACTGGGGAGAAAAGAGGTAGATTCATACCTCCCCCAATCGTAAGTGATTACAACGAACCCGTCTGGAATCGAAACTCTGCTCTCCAATTTCAAATTTCGTGTCATTATCTACTACACGACACACACATCCAAGCTGACAGCAACTAGTATTCCCACATGTCTACACTAGGCTAGACGTTGCTGATCGTACGAGAACCGGTGTTTCAACGTTATACGGCCGTAAGCCTATAACTTAATATAGGCGGAGTTATGTTGAAATTACCTTTCAAAAGAAACGTGTGCTATGCTTCCTCTAAAGCGGACAGCTTTTCGATCACCGTGGGGCCGTTCAGAAATTTTACAAAATATTTAATCATAAAACGGAATTACCAATTAACTCGAGGTCACAAAAAAAAGTTTAAAAGCAGACTTTGTTTATCGTATCACGGAGAATTCTTTTCGCAACTGTTGGATATTTTCTGTTAATTCACCCCAAAATAATGTAAATTTACTTATCGCATATATTAATTCACCCCAAGAAATTATAACTTTTAAATCAATGTTTGTTTTTTTATAAAATTTTTGGCACTCTTTTGAAATTATAAATTAAAATTTGTTTAGCTTGCCTCGCAACAACTCCAATCTCAGAATGAAAGATTACCAAAAATCAGGGAGTTATTCACTTTTCGTAAGTGCTGATGACATTCAAGGTACTTACAAGGAATTTTTTACAATTTAAAAAAAAAATGTCTATCTAGTTTATCTGGCTAATCGCGAATGTAGACCTCGCACTTAGAAATAGCGCACCCAAGTCAACCCAACCGGAGTGCAATGGAATTTTAGTAAATATATATATATATATAAATTCTTTTTATTTTGGAGTGAATTAACGGAAAAGGTTTCAATTGTTTTTTTGTTTGTTTTTTTGCAAAGTAACTTCAAACATACCCCACTATTTCAAGCTATATTTAGGTTCTGCACCTTTTATAAAACATTTACTATAAGTTCGAAAATGGCATTTTCTTCTTTAAAATAGTTTCTTTTAATAAACAGCCTACAAAGCCGACAGTGGTTATAATTAAATTTCTAAAGATTTTCCCTGAAATCAAAACCAAGACCAAGGTTAAAAGAAAGCGGTAAGTGGCCGCTTTACTATATCAGTTCAGGACCTGATACGTTCCTCCGACAAAAATTGACTCAGACTTCACCAGCAAACAACCAGTACTTTATGAAAACGCATGAACGCGTCATAAATAAGGTTTATGATACAAGCAATACACGGAAATATGCAAATAACTATTTGTTAAATAGATTCTTATCAAAAGAGTCATTTTCAAACTACTCACGTAAAACAACTTACGTTCCATTCCAGAAAATCAAGTTGGTGGGTCTCCTCAAATTTATTGTCTACCAAAAGGTCAGACTAGGAATTGAAGCATAATTTCTAATATTAGGAGAATATGATCAACAAGCAAACGTATATTTACAATCAGAAAGAGACAGCTTAAATTTCAATGATACATAACAAGGCTTGGAGAATGTAAGATTCACATGACATATTAAAGGCAAAAAAAAAGCCAGATATAAAATTGCGAATTTGTGTAGATGGGTTGCAGAAAAGGGACAAAGAGCGATGGTAAAGATAAAAAGTTACTTCGAGCAATAAAAGACAGGAATCTGTGGAGAGCCAACGTCCTAAAAGAATACGATACACAAAAGATGATTATTCCCTGTAGGACGAGTAGCTTAAAGGGGAAATAATGATATAATCCAGGTGTTAATATTCCACAATACAAAAACCAAAAAGGTTTGGAAGAAAAGTTCATTACCCAATCGTAAAATATTGCACACGTCGTTTTTACTTCTATCTCTGCGTCATGTCGATATCATAAAATGTTGCGTTTCGACCACTTGGACGTGGTGTAATGGTTAGAAAGCTTGTCTTGCGAGGTCAGTTACAACTCAGTAGTGAGTTCGATGCTCACTGGGTGTTCCATACTTTCGGCCACGTGCCACAAAGTAAATTGTTATGGTACTTTGACGTGTTGTAAAGCTTAGCGAGCTTGTTTCTTTGTTAGGACACTTCGACAGGGTGACTTTCTCAGCAAGTTGTTTCGCTAGATCAATTATGACTGAATAGTGAGTTCTGTCCTCACGGTATGTTCCTCTATTTTCGGCCTTGTGTCACATCTAAGCTACGCTTAGAAAATCCTTTTGGGTACCTTGACGTGGTATAATGGCTAGCAAGCTTGTCTCGCTACAACAATTACGACTGAGTAGTGAGTTTGATCCTTGCTGGGTACCCCATACTTTCGGACTTGTGCTACATCTAAGTTACGCTTAGAAAACCACCACAGAATAGTTCCGCCATCCAATATTGTTTCCAGCTCCCTTAGGATAGCCTTGCTGTAGATATTGAATAAACCCGGCGAGAAGACAACTCCGTGTCTTAAGCCTTTTTCTAATTTTATGTAGCTACTCAATTCCTTTTCTTTCTGTGTGTAGGTGGTTTGCTCCAAGTGCAAAATTGTGGATTATTTAGCATACGTTTCCTCGCAGTTCAAATAGATTTTAGTTATTATTTGTTAGCAATTACAATTTAAAAACTTGTTTATATATATAAATTTCATAATTTTCAAATGCAATGGAAATTTATTTCTTTTCGAGTGTTTTCATTTTCATTAAAGCAATGCAGCCAATTTTAACTTTAGAAACATTTTTTTTCCTTGTGTTAATTTGTGATTTCAGAAGGTATTATTTAATTATGATCAGAATCTTCTTTTATGTGTCATGTCCCGTCAAGGTGTTAATGATCCTTTAGTAATATTGGGCTTACGGCCATTTCATGTTGGAACACTGGTTCACGTACGATCACTAAAGTTAAGTAACGTTGAGCTTGGTCAGTACTCTGATGGGTGACAGCTTGGGAATAACAGATGCGGATACTCTTGAGAAAGGTATAAATCAGTCTCTTCGCCTCCCCTTCCAGATATGGGATAACTAATAGAATTTGTATCAGTAAAATCATTATTATCTCAATAAAATTAATACCATCTAAAATAATTTATGGCTTTAAATAACCTGCAAAGGGTTGATAAACCCTAAAAACAAATCATTTTTAGGAATATTTGTGCTTTACCATTCATCCCACTTCCCGTTCCACCATTAATTCACATAAGCTTGTCAGGTAGGTGACCCACTGTTCTCTCTGTTCCTTTTCCTTTGATATATCTTAATGTGTCAGCTGGAATTGTAGGTCACTGTAGATCCATATGTTCTCCCAGCACGTCTTACAGGAGCTATCTACGGGACTTTATTTCGAACACACTTCCAGACCTGCTAGGGGATGTACCCCTGCTAATACGGAGATGCATGTGGTTGATGCCTGATAGGGCTCTGGGGCATTTTAGTCCCATTTTCGCGATTTAAATGCCGATTAAGGAATTGTATTCCTGATCAATCAAAATTCGTAAATAATTATATAGGCTACTCTACATGTTTGACACGAAGACTCATTCTACAACTTTCTGATCATAGCTCAATTAGATCTCATTTAAATATTTATGGAGACCTACCGGACACTATTCGTAACATACTTGTTGACAACACAAATATAACAGCATCATCTACATGCAAAAAAGACTGAAAATAATGGATGCCTTAATGTAAAAAAAAAAATTTTTTTTAAAAAAAAATAAAAAAAAACACTTAATAATATCAACTATGAACATAGTTACAATATATTGACCGTGTTTTGAAAATTAAAAGATTATATAAATACATACATGCAACAAACTATTTCTTATTTAACAGTTAAAATATTTCATCCTTGAAAATGGCTAAATGTATAGCCTAAAGCGCTCGGATTAAAAGAAGATTCGGACAGTTTTTATATAATTTATCATCAAAAAAGAAAAAATATTATTAGATCACATGAGAAATTGTATAAAAAAATAAATTAAAGCACCTTGTCTGTCGTATTCAATGAAATGTGCATGAAAGAAGGATTGCTGCCTAAATACACTATATATATATATATATATATATATATATATATATATATATATATATATATATATATATATATATATATAACATGTCTTCTTCATTCAAACATGTTTCAATGAATGATATAGACATATTGCGTCTACTTATGTTTATACAGATCCTTTCCAGTTGTCTAATAAGTTTCTTATTGTTAAGATGAAATTCACCAAGGAAGGCACCGTAGTTTTTTAGCACAAGTACTTTCGATACTTTCTAAGATCATCTTCATGGGTAAATTACAAAGACAAATTTATTGTAACTGCGATAAAATTTTCATTCTGTTGTGATAGTGCTTTTTAAAAACATGTGCGAACACGCTCTGTTATAGTTCTTTTAAAATTATATATATATACTACTACTACTACTCCAAACGTTATTTTGTGAATACCCGCGTTTCAGTAGACGCCCTGTTTGTATTTTATCGTTTCACCCCAAGCAAGCCAGTGGTAAACAGGGGGTTACAGAGAGTGAAGGCGAGAAAAGAGACTGGATATGAGGGAGCGAGGAAAGGATAAAAATTGAACGGGGTTCAAGAAGATATAAAATGACGATTGACGTTGCATTTAAATTTTTGAAGATTGTAGTTATAAGGGAAGCAAAGAAACGAATGGAAGTTCCACAAGCAGGAACTGCAAGAAAAGAAACCATTGAAGTAAAAGTGGCGGTTGCATTTAACTAATTCAACAGCACACTCTTGCAGAGGTACCAATAATATCTAGAACCGAATTTACGATATGCTATACGTTGGTTCATTCTATCAGCAAACAGTAGTTTCTCTACTTTGAGGAAACGCTTGTACTCATTACGAGCAGAGACAAAGAGACGTCTGTTGCAATCAGACATGTCGCTCTGCTACAGCCGGAAGAAATGATTCCCTATGGCGGCCGAATATGCGGGTGTGAACCAAGGAGATGAACGCGATTTAACTTGGTATTTCCTTGCTGGAATGAAAGCATCAATGCCGGCTTTCACCCAGGAGGAGACCTCAGACGCGCATTTTTTTTAACAGGAAGATTTAAAAATTCATTCCAAGGAACATCACGAAGGAAATCACGAAACGAGTCCCAATCCGCACGTTGATAACGTTGAAAGATATTCTGGTGGTAGGAGGTTCTTATTTGATGGGTGGATCAGAAAGATGTTTACAGACACTAACGCATGATCAGAATTGCCAAGAGGGCAGAGCTGCATAATATGACATGAGTCAGGGATAAAGGTAAAAAAAGAGATCTAAAAGAGAAGCTTGTCCGTCAGTGTTGCTGAGGAAACGCGTGGGGAAGCCCACCACTTGCGTGAGAGATTGAATGATTGAAAAGTTCAGGGTTCGGATGCCAGCGAGGTCAGTGACGGAATGCTTCTAACGTCTACTGTTATTTAAAAAAATACGTCTACCAGCCTGTTTAAGAAAAAACAAAAAACAGGGCGTCTGATCAAACATGGGTATCCATAAAATAACATTTTGAGTAATATGAAATAATGTCGGATAAAAAGCCCATTGATTCCTTGGAAATATATTACTATAAATTTTATATTTTAGTGGATACACGTCGTATCGAGAAAATCATTCAAAAATAATTGTTCGAAAACAATTATTCGTAAAACATTTAATCTAATTGTAAATTGTTTGAATGAAAATGAATCGAAAATACAACTATACTAAATGATAATTATTCGAAATACCTATATTTGAAATATGTATGTATGGTCTTGCTTTGAGAGTATCAATGCTGATTTATCTGGATCTAATAATGCCCTTGAAGAATGTCATAGAGCTTATTTGCAGCGTCATCCCATAATCCCACAATATGGAAATTATTAAAAGAGAACAGAACTTGCAAGAAATTTATATTGAATAAGTAAGAGCAGGTCGTCATATTAAGACAGCCAAGAAATATCGCGACATAAATAGAAAACATAGTGGTATCCTTTAATGGCTACTCTTCAATAGTTGACCATTTGCATGCAGAATCATATATCTTAAAGTTATAAGGATGTTTTCTTACTAAATTGCTTTTATTAACGATATTTGGATTTCGAAAAATGTATCGTTTGTGTATTTGATCTTTTAATTTTTACATTTCTATTTCAATAATTAATTTTGTATTTCGAATAATCATCATTTAGTATAATTGTCCTATGAGTTACTTTTGAAGTTTTCTTTAATCAGATGTCAGTTTACCGGGAAATAAATAATGCAGTTATTAATAAGAAGAGTCGAAATTAACGCATGCAAAATTTCACAGCTCTAAAATCACTCCTTCATATTCAGCCTTTCAAGTTTTTAGGCTAGCCTCGTACCAGAAAAGAATGAATGCAGTTATTAATAATAAGAGTTTAAATTAACGCATGCAAAATTTTACAAATCTAGCATTACTCCTTCATAGTCAGCCTATAATAACTTGTATTGGCATTAAATTAACGAAAGTTGCCTTCCAAAATCTAAGCAAAGAACTAAGAAACAAGAAACATTATTTAGAAACAAAGAAAAGATTTCTGTGTTATCCATCCATTGGGGGTGGGGGACAAAGATTGTTATAGGAAATTTTAACGTTTTATTTTTGTTTGTTTGTTTTTTTTGTTTTCGTTTTTGGTTTGTTTTGTCTTGTTTTTTGTTTTGTTTTTTTGCAGTGAAAAACACTCTGATATGGAAATATTTGCAAAATCAAATAATTGTCGGATTTTAATAAAACTTTCAGGACTTCTTCAGAGATGATTAAATTATTTTTTAAAATTTTATAAAATCTTGGTAAAAATATCTTTTTACATTTGTTACCTCTGACTTATTTAATTTTATGAGATTTCGAAAAATTAAATTTTAACCTGCTTAATATTCATATTAGTTAACAGCCGAACTCCTTGGAAAAATAATTACATATTCAAGATGTTATCGTTCCACACTACTTCAAACAAAAAGATTAGGAAGAAAACCCCCATCAGTAGTGGAAAGAGCAATAACATCTACTGGTCTTGAGAAACCCAATTTCCAGAAAAATTGTTTTAAGGGAAAGTTTTAATAAATTTCAACCGACATTTGTACTAGCTGCTCGGTCAATGAATGCTTAATCTTTCCTTATAAGGAAACTGCTTACCATTTGTCTTTTCATGTCTTCTTGTTTGGCACGTTTGTTATTGGTATGGTTGTTTCTTTTAAGCTTTACTTGGTTTATTCTGGTGTCAAATAACAAAATTATAATTCATAAGGTATATGTCATATTGATTTAATCAAATATGATTCTGTAGGCTTTTGTATATAACTGTTTATTTATAAATAAAAAATTATGTTACACATTATTTGCATAATAAAACCTGACTGCCAACTTATTAATATTTTAATCAGGATAAATATGAAATTAGACTTACAGCTAGAACCGATATATCTAATTTAAATTATTGTTCTGTGTCTCGCCTCTTTTGTTGCGAGGTGGGAATATTTTCAGTAAATATTTATCAGCTCCTGGTACATTTGCCCTGCAAACAATATTCGGCGGACTCATTTGAGTCCGTGTAAAAATAAGTGACAAAAAATCTGGTATTTAAGCAAACAAGTATTAATATATTTATATTAAACGGACATGTTACAGAAAGGAAAAATGATAAATAAAATTAACGTTGTGAAGAGTACAAAACAACTTTCAATGTATGTCTCTCAGGTCCATACATGCTAACAGAACAAGAAGAGACGTCTTGTTTCTAGCAAAGCCAAAAGAAATAAGCTTTCAAATTTCGTGCTACCTGTGATTATCGTCAGGGTGCGGTAAATAAATATCCACCCGCTTGTGATTATCGTTATAGCTTCATAATACATATGAAGTCATGTTTACATGGATGCGATTACACATACACATGAAGAAGATGGGATACTGCAATTTTAAATTTAAATAACTTTTTAAATA